TGTCCAGAAGAAACCAACCCAGGACTTCAGGCTACTGTCAGCCCTTCCCTCCCCACCTGTCCCCAAGCCTCCAGGATCAAAGTCCCAGCACACAAGTGACCCGTGCAGAGCTCACGGTGCCAGCTGTTGGGAAGTCCTGCTCTAGGGTGGAAATCCTAGACAAAGGAGTGGAGGCATCTTCAACCTTAGGAGATAATGCAAAGTATTTCTTCCCCTTTATCAGTTTACACTGCCCTTCAACAGCACACAAGACTTTCCATTTCATCATTTTAGCAAAAGGTGACATTATGAACTTTTAAAATTTTGCCAAATGTATTTATATTTGCTTCAATGTGAAAAATAATTATTTTACACATCTTTTTTAATTACACACATTTAATTACATCTTTTTTAAAGTTTATTTATTTATTTTGAGAGAGAGAGAGAGCATGTGTGCTCACACATGCAAGTGGGAGAGGGGCAGAGAGAGAGGTAGAGAGAATCCAAAGCAGGCTCCACACTGTCAGCACAGAGCCCAACGAGGGGGCCCATTCTCCTAGAACCATGAGATCATGACCTGAGCTGAAATCAAGAGTTGGACACTTTAATCCACTGAGCTACCCGGGAGTCCCTGAACATCTTTTCATATGCTTATTGGTCAATGTTGTTTCCCTTTCTGAGATTTATATGCTTTTCCCCCCATTTTTCTACTGTGCCTTTAGTTTTTTCTTATTAATGTCTGGAAATAATGTATGTAATCCAGTTACTAATGTTTTGTCAGTTATATGCAGATACCACCTCCCAGCCTGCGGCTTGTTTTCTAATTGTGCTTATTAGTACATTTTGTTCTGTGGACATCTTAAACTTTGAGGTAGTAAAATCTGGTAATATTTTTATTTAGGGTTCGTGCATTTTTGTCTTGTTTAAGACTCCTTCCTTGTCTTGGGGTCACATGGGAGTCTTGCATATTTTCTTATGAAAATTTTCCTGTTTGCATAGAAGGCTTAACTTTGTCTGGCATTGACTTCCTGAGGTTCACATTAATGAGGTTTATTTTATTTTATGGTGACTACTGGTCCTGTGACCACTTCCTGAACTGTCCTTCGCTTCCCCATTGGCTTACACACCACCTTCATAGACATGTAAGCCTTCCTTTTGCAACATATGCTCCTTTATTTGAGAAAAAGGTCCTGAGAGGAACGTGTGGCACCTTGAGATGAGGTTCCTTGATGGCCTGTGAGCTGGCTCTTGTGCTGCCCGACACAGCAGTTGGGAGAAACGCCAGTGCTGGAAGGAGTCTCTCTTTGTGCATTTATGACTTGTGGTAATTAAACTTTGGGAGAACTTTTTGACTCAGGACCTATTTAAAAATGTAGGTGAATTAGTCATGCCAAACTCATGAGCTATTATCATGAGCTCCAGCCTTCGGAACTTCAGAATGAATCTCAGCCAAGATATGGTGCACGCCCCGTCGTTTTCTACAGACTAGAGCCAACCATCAAATTTCATATATTCCAGGTTTAAGAAATGTAATTAGTTGACCTACAATAAACACACTTTATCACTTCTGGGTGTTTTGCTCTGTTTCCTGCAAACTGTGAGACACATGCATTATAATCCTCATACATTATTAAAACTGTTTTCTTTAAAAAAAAAATAGCTTGGCAGAATAATATTGGAATTAAACCAGAAATTCAACTTTCTGGACTTAAAAATGGCACAAATCCAAATCGAGATTCAGGAAAAAAAATAAAATAACAACCCTCAGCTATTTTAATTAACACACCACCACAACAACAAATCAGCAATTTGAAGAAGAACTTCACAAATAACCTTATGGTAGAGGTTTTTGTTAGTGGAAATGCCATGGAAATGCTAACAAAGGAAAAGAGAATGGAATCAACCCTTTACTGGACACCCATTATCCTAGTCACCTAGTGAATAGGTCACCTAGGTCACCTAATCACCACAGAAATCACTTCTTTATATGCTGTGCCATTTAAAACTCACCACAGCCCTCAGATACATTTTAAATTTCCCACTTTAAGGATGAGAAGATAATATTTAAAAATCTTGGTAAGCCTGTCAAAGGTGCAGAGCTGGTAGGCAATAGAGTAGGGATCCAGATTCAGATCCAATGTTGCCCAGTGCCTTTGCTCATTCATTTTCCACCGTGGCTTCTGGTTTTAGCATGTGGCTGTGTTACTGTGAGGAGAACATTCAAATAGCCTTCTTAGTTTCAGGACCAGGAATCAAGTTGAAACTTGGGACCGGAAATGTGTGACATCTCTGAGGCTGTCCTAAGTCTCCTCTGGAGTAGACCCAATCTGTGGCTGGCTTTAGAACCACCCAGCCTCTGACACCACTCATAATTGACCCAGGATTGTGGCATCCTGTCCTCTGGTCATCTTTAAGCTGGGTCATTGTGACTCCATTCCATATTATGAGCCTCATGATCCTCCCCAAATCCCGAGGGCCAGATGTACATTGGGATATTGGATGTTTGAGTTTTAGAAAAATAACGTGCTATGATAGCAGTTACTGCAGAATATGTCCTACAGGTGTGAGGCAGCAACTTGTCACCTTATAATTATATTGGTATTTCTGCTGTGGAAGAAATGAATATTCATATTAAATTGGGTAAAACAGGAGAGTAAATAGGCCTGTCAGTTCAGGCAAGACTTTGCTGCTCTGTGAGTTAGAAACACTTTTGGTTTAGAGTTTTGAGGATTCCAGAATTACAAATTCTGTGCTTGTTTTTAAAAACACTGGACACTTCTGGAAAACTTACTGTTATTACTTGTAGGGGAGTAAAGGAGTAAATACGACATAAGCCTTAAATCATATTTTGCTGTCAACAAAATTTTTCACATACTATTTCACCCCTAGAGTAGCAATGTGAGAGATTCTTATTCTGTTTTACTGATGAGGCTGTTCAAGTTCAGAGAGCTTGAGAGTCTTGCAGAAGGTCACATAGCCAGGAAATAGTAGGGCTGGAAAACATGGATAGTCTCCTAACTCCATATGAAATCTGACCAGATATGTAGGTTCTATTTCCAATTTTACCTCTTACTACCGTGGAACCTTACAAGCCACTCGAGCAGGAAAAACCCAGTCTTCCTCCCAGGTTTCTTCTTCACTCTCACATGACGGCCACATTCTCAACACTTCTGATGCCAGCTATGTGGGGTTTGCCCCCACACTAAGCAATTCTGGAGATATCAGCTGATCCCACATGTTAAGGGATCAGTTAAAGGGGGGTTAAGTATTCCCCCAGTTCTAATACCAGTTGCAAATCTTGGTTGTTACCTGTGCTTCTGACTGATCGGCTATAAATTAAAGGTTCCTACTACCCCCTCCTTAGATTTGATTAATTTTCTAGAGTGATTCACAACTCAGGAAAACAATTTACTTACTCTTTATCAGCTTCTTATGAAAGTATATGATAAAGGATACACATGATGGTGGAGATCAAACGCAAGGTCAGTAGAAAGAGACACAGAATTTCTGTGCCCTCTCCCAGCGCCCCCATGTGTTCCCCAACCCAGAAGCAGAACACTTCCAACCACATAAATTTGGTATTTTTATGAAGCCTACATCATGTAAGCATGGTCTATCATGAACTTCTTTTCCAACCCTGCTTCCCTCTCTGAAGAATGGGTGGTGAGGCTGAAAGTTCCAAGCCTCTATTTATGGCTTGGTCTTTCTGGTGACCAGTGCCATCCAGGAGCCATCCAGGAGTCTATTCAGAGTCACCTCATTAGAACAAAAGACTCCTATCATTGAGGAAATCCCAAGGGATTTAGGAGCCCTGTGTCAGGAACCTGGAGCCCTGTGTCGGGAATTGGGAGCCCTGTGTCAGGAACCAGGAGCTCTGTGTCAGGAAAGACCAATCAGAACAAAGGATGGTACCTGCGCTCTTATCACTTAGGAAATTACGATGATTTTAGGAGCTTTGTCAGGAACTAGGAACAGAGACCAGTTATGCGTTTTCTATTATCTCATACCCCTAACCTTCATCAAAGTTTGGTTTCCTTGTCTATAACCTAGAGACAGTTAGTTTTCTGCCTAATTCAGAAGATTGTATAACACCATATAATCTGTTGTGCTATGCAAATGAAAGATCTTATTACTGTACACCTGTGTAGTTTGGCTCAAAATCTGCATGTGGTTTTGTCAGGACAGGGGATATTATCTGTGACTCCCTGGGGAACTCATCAGAACTTATAGAATGGCCAGAAGGGGACCTGTCCTCTCCTGTTGAGGCTAAGCCCATAGCCACGGCTGCAAAGTTCTCATGTTTTAAACTTTCAGCTGATCCCTAAGCATATTCCATTCTCACGATGTGCAAATTTTAAAGGACATTTGCCTTCATGCATGCTGGAAAAGATAGACTGAAATCTCTTTTATTAGTCTCCCACCTACATATCTTGGCAGTTTACCACTTGTACTTGTGTAACATCACAGGACAAACTGAGCATGCTTTGTTTTCTCAACACTGGAATGCTGGAAATATTATACTGCACTTGTCATTTACTTCCTCCTAATTTTACACACACACCAAATTTCACATAAATAAATAATCGATATCTTGTGTGTCTATGTGTCTATATCTATATAGTACATATACGTACTATATGTGTCTATATGCAGGTATACACACATTATATGAGTGGTTATTTATTTAACAAACATATGAATTACCTCATATGAATCAGCTACTTATATGAGGCATTGGGTGTAGAAAAAAGAGAATATAACCTAAAATCCTAACCTCTAGCAGACATTCATGAAAATGAATAATTTGATTAGTGTAGTAGAAGAGCATTATCACAGCTTTTTTTGAGGGACCAAGGATATCGCATATATATGTATATACTCAATTACAGAATCTAGGACTACAGAGTTACTATGTTATATTTTTTCAACATGGAATGCTGTTTTGTGTGTAATATATGCTTAATTTGTATTTTATTGATTAATATCAGTTGGTTTAAAAATTCTGGAATGTGTTCATCTGGAAAAGTGATCAAACTTTGTATTTGTATGTCATCCTGGGGTAGGGGCCATGCTAATGTTTCTGTGTCATTCCAACTTTAGTCATACATGCTGCCAAAGTGAGCACTCTGACTTTATGTTAGAGTGTAATGCTTGCTGGAGTGATTTCTGTATAAGACCAAGCTAAATTAATGCGTTTTCTTCTTTGTTTCTTTCTTTGTTTCTTTGTTTCTTTCTTTCTTTCTTTCTTTCCCTCTTTCTTCTTTCTTTCTGTTTTTTTTTTTTTTTTTTTTTGAGAAAAAGAGAGAGGGTGTGCAACTTAGGAAGAGGGGCAGAAGGAGAGGAGAGTGAATCTCAAGTAGGCTCCACTCCCAGTGTGGAGCCTGATGGGAATCTCAATCATAACCCTGATCATGACTTGAGGCCTTGAGCCCAGTCAAGAGTCAGATGCTTAACTGACTGAGCCACCCAGGTGCCCCTCCCCTGTAAATTACTGCTTTTTAAATCCAGATTGTGCAGACACTATGCTGTCTTTTCACTTGTTAATAACTTCTTAAATTCCAAAAAATGGCTCACACATGAAAAGTTTAAATAAAAAGAAAGAAGGGTTATCAAATAAAAATATATATATGTGGTTTCAAAATGTTCCGGTCATTTCTTTGCTAGCATTCTCACATTCCCAGCCAGTCTTTTGTCTTTGGGGCCGGATATACCAACTCATATCTCTGTTGCTTATTGGAAATTAAGTGGATGATTATCTGTGGATTTTAGTGAATCTTGGGTAACTGAAGTTGATTCTGATGGCTGAGACTAAAGAGGCCAGGAGTGTACCTTCAATGGGAGAGGAATTCTAGAAAGTATTCAGTTAGTGGCCTTGGCTTTTCTTAGCATTATGAGTTAGTAGGGTTGTGTACAGAGACAGAGTTGTCACTATTAATTTCTGTTTATGAGACATTCCAAAGATATTGTCGAATAAAAATAATAAACCAACATTGTTATTTTCAGGTATGTGAGCTGTAAAGCTGACACTTTAGCCCTCTGGCCAATTTTCAAGACATTACCTAATACATAACCTCATAATGATGACTAGAGGGAAACATTTTCAAAAGCACAGTCATAAAGTGCTTCGATAAAGCCCACCCTAGGTCTTGTAGCAAAGCCTAGACATGAATGCCTCCTAAAAGGAGTTGGGGGCACCAGATGTGTCTGCCATTGCAAGTGTGTCATTTATATCCTTCAAGATTCTCCATTCCACTTTGGGACAGAGATCATGGCAGGTAAACTATGTGACACAAACTTTACCTAATCCTGCCCCTGGGAAGAAAGAGTCTGTTGAGTAGTTCCAACAGATAAAACACTGTTGCCCTGTTTATCTTTATACAGGGGAAAAATTATCAGCCAATAAAGCCTCACTCTTGCATTTGTGCCTGCCAGAGATCCAATCCCCTAGGAAAAGGGCAGGGGTTGGACAGAATGAAGGAGTGGCCTGGACACACTGAGAACCTGCAGGCAGCTGCATTGCTGGTACTTTTGCCAGAATCCGATATAAAAGAGAGCTGGAGAAGGGACTGTAACTGGCAAGCGCTAGCATGGGGCTCATTTTCTACTTGTCCGCACAGAGTAAAAACTCTATCTGCTTCATAATCACAGCATCTGCAAGAAACCTCTCTATAGGCTCAATTCTCTTCAATGGTGACTGGTCTTTTTCTTGCTTGCTCATTTCTTATCCTACATCCCTACACTTCTGCCCCAGCCATTTCCAACCGAAAGCTCCTGAAAGGTTATCCAAGATGGTGGTTCTTGACACCAGTTGTACATTAGAATCACCTGAAGAACCTTAAAAGGAATACCTACACCTGGGCCTCATTGTGTACCAGTTCTAATTCAGATGGTCCAAGCATATGTAAAAAATCCACCCATGTGCAGCCAACATTAGCAACGGTTGACCTAAGGAGTTAGAGCTTTTTAAAGTAAGTAATGAGTGGATAGTAATGTTTCTGGATATGGGAGTGTGTGAGATAGATAAATCTGGTGACATTTTGCAGGGCATATTGGAAGGGGAGAAACTGAAGGTAGAAACCATGGGTTTATCAATCCCATCAACATTTGAAGGAGAATCATTCATGGTGGCTGAAATGTCATTGCTGATGAAATGGCTCCGCTCAAATTCTTTGTTTAGACCATATTAAATATTGTGTTTAAATGTCATTTAAAATGTCTTTTGCTTTAAAAGATAAAATATTCTCGGAATGCATTTCTGTTGAGGAGGATGTATAATTGACAGTGATTTGTACTTGTAGCTAAGGGAACGTACTTTGTCTAAAAATTCTGGGATTAACTTTCTTTCAAACTAAGGAAAGATGCAGTTACCCTCAAATCTATTCTCCATTTTTATGTTAGATGGTGAGCTTCTCCCACAGATTGTCTGAGGTCAATGAGGCTTGTTTTAGTCAGGTTGGAGATGGGGAATATAGAGAATAATCCCATATATTCACACGAGATCAGAGGCTGTGGGGTCCTGGAAGACACTACTCTGCAAAGGTGGAGAAGATAGAGAAATTGGGAGAAATTAGTTAGAGAGCATATTCATACTGCTGATACGGAAATACAATTACATGTTCATATTGCTCTCTTCTGCAAAATTGAAGCAGAGAGAAAGAACTGATTCTAATTTGTCAGCCAAATGCTAGGAGGGTAAAATAATTCATTCAATCAATTCATTCTTTTTAAAAATTTTTATTGATGTGAAGTTTCAGCAACATAACACTAACCATTTAAAAGAGACAATAGAAAGTGTTACTGCATTCATAATATCGTGCAATAACTACCTCTAATTCTAAAACATGTTTAGCATCTAAATATTAAGTTATTCTTAAAATATTTAATCATTAATCTACATGCAATCCTTTTTGCACCAAGTATAAGAAACTGTATAAAGAAAAATAAAACATGGCTTATGCCTTTAAGAAGAAAAATTTTAGTAGAGATCTTGGCCATTTTCCTATTAAATTATAATACAATATGTGATCATTTCTATTAAAAACATGACACTAACTAAAGGAGAGCTAATTTCTGATTTGTGGATGCCACAGTAGGCTTGGGTGTGAAAAGTGTCATGAAGGAGACCGGCTTCAAACAATGGGTGGATGGACAAGTGGAAGGAGGCAGCATACTTCTGGTAGCAGGAAAATTGTGAACCAAGAAAAGAAAGGAGAGGCATAAGAAATACTCAGGGAGTGTTGAATGACTTATACCTGAACAGGACAGGAGGATCAGAAGTTCAGAGTGGAAAAGTAGGTTGAGCCAATATCATCCATAGGGACTTTTGAATAACTGCCAAAGAGTTTTGGATTTATATTTGCTAAGCAATGAACAGCTATTGAATACTTTTTAAGCAGGAAGAAATATGGACAGTGCAGTATTTCAGGGAAATAAATGTGATGACTGGGGAAGGATGGATTAGAGGGAAGGAAAGTGTCCCTTTAGGTAATTCTAACAATGCTAAGGGCACTGGTCCATCAGTGTATAGAGGATGGAGGCTTCCAAGCCCCCAAAAGTAAGCTGGTAGTAGCCATAAAAGCTGAAGTTATTTGTTTGTTTGTTTTTTGTTTGTTTGTTTAAGTAGTCTCCACACCTAACATGAGGCTTGCATTCATGACCCCAAGATCAAAAGTCGTATGCTCTACTGACTGAGCCAGCCAGGTGCCTCAAGGAAGAGATTTTAAGGAAATTCAACCATGACACATGCTTCTATTCTAAGAACCAACCTTGATTGCCTTGTCTTAGAGACTGTCTAAATATTAGGCCAGTCTTATTGGTAAATCACAGGGCCAGCTTTATAGGTAAATCATGGTCAGGAAGTTAGTAATTGTCCTTCAGTGATACCTCCTCTAGAGAGTCTTGTCTGGGGAAACATGTGTCTCTACTCAACAGGACCTGTCTGGCCTTTATGCTTGTCATACTATTGTTAGTGATGGCTATTAAATTGATATATCAAAAGCTTGTGGTCAGATGTGCAAAGAATCCTCTAGAATACAAGGTACATAGATTTGTTCCACTGGTCATGTTATTTTCATTCAACAAAAATTTACTGAATGCCTACTATGTGTTAGCCCCTCTCCCATACTCATTCAAAAGGCTCTCACAGGGCAGAGAGAGAATACCAAGCCCATTTGCACCATTCCCTAAACTACAGATGACAGGTATATGGCATATTTGCCTCTACTACCAGCTTCTGAGCCCGGGTGCTCATCGCATAGCTTCCCACTGGTCACGGCTCACGATCTTCCTCAACACAGAGCTGCAGGCAGCCTCCACATACACTGAGTAGAGGGGGCCTATGGGATTTATCACTTACTCACATGCCTGCCTTGACATGAGTAGTCTTTTCTTGCTTCTAGTGTGAAAATGCCTAAACCAGAGCAATATTGCTTTATCCTTGCCTTCAGTTTTAAGCGTCTGCCTTATTTGGGCCTCCTTTAAGCTAGGAGAGTTGAAAAAAAAAAAAGACCACACACACACACACACATACACATTCAGTCTCTCTTTGATATCCTTGCTACAATACTCCATGTTTATCTCCTATCTTCTAGGGTCAGTTAAAGTGTGTAGGATTATAAAGGGACTTATGTGACAGAAAAGTTTCACTGGAGACCTCTAGATGCAATGATATTCAAAGATGAGTTTCACCTGGGTATTTTTATGACCCATCCTCTTACCTGCTGGCAGCCTTCAGACTTCAAATGGCCCTTCTTCTTCCACAGGTCTCCTCACCCCTCAGAGTCCCTCTCAAGGATGCCCTTCCCAAAGTTTTGCATCTGGACCACAAGAAAATTTTTTCTTTACCCTTCAAGTGTGAAGGTATAGGCTTGTCTTACCTCAAATCTGTCCCTTCCCTCTACCAACAAAAAGAAGAAACTCCAGATATAGCCTTGTTCATTAATATTCTTCTTCTTCTTTTTTTTAAGTAGGCTTCATGCCCAGCATGGGGCCCAATGTGGGGCTTGAACTCATGACCCTGAGATCAAGACCTGAGTTGAGATCAAGAGTTGGACGCTTAGCTGACTGAGCCATCCAGGGCCCCTGACATTCTTCTGGGAAAGAGTCAAATTCCAGTCCTCACTTCTT